AAAGAGTATTTTTGTGGAAGTATTGAAGTAAAAACATCAGACCGGTAACGAATTCGAATAAAAATTGCCATGACAACCAGATAAACAACGATGTCAAAACATGTCATATTTTGGTTTCAGGCTCGTAATAGAGAAACGGCAAGATATAAGTGAAAAATGAGATATTATTGATATAGGAAAAAAGGTAGCGCACTAGCGCGCATGAAGCCCGAAATTGCAGAGTTACGGAGAACTAAATAAAAGATCGAAAAAGGTAGACTCCATCGACACCGATTTAAAAAGTGCTGATAGCGTGAAAATACGAAGTGAAAATGATTTGTTATTGTGTTCTTATGGTTTAAAAACGTTACAGGATCCTATGGAAATAAAGGTGATACAAAATATCCAGTTTTGAGGTGAATGCAGAAAATCAAAACAGAATGGAAAAATGAATTTAAAATAGTGTAAAATGATATGTAAGTAGCATAACACTACAACGTTTATACCTTCGCTTAGCTTTGTCCCGCTGAACCATTAGCTTCTTTATACCACTTGTAATCCGTGATGCAGGCTTACGCTTTATCTTTACACGTTTGAGCGGGGCATGTTTATTGTATATCTTCAAAACTATGTCATTAAAGTTACAAACCTTATCATTAATATTAGTATTGTCAACAATAAGTGTTCAATCAATATCACTTACACCACACTGCAATGCCTCTAGATATATTCCCTTATATTTACGGGGGATATAAGATATAAGATTTATTCCCTCTAAACTTAAAAATGAGGATATCCGCAGAGAACCAGAGTAACCGACATAGCCCAACGGATTAGTAAGCTGAAGTGGCAGTGGGCCGGCCATATAGCTCGAATAACCGACAACCAATGGGGAAGAAAGGTTCTCGAGTGATAGCCTCGTACCGGTAGGCGAAGTGTAGGGTGACCCCCCACGAGATGGAGTGGCGACCTGGTAAGACATGCAGGAAGTCGATGGATGCAGGTGGTTCAGGACCGTGCTTTGTGGCATACCTTGGGGGAGGCCTATGTTCAGCAGTGGACTTATGAAAGGCTGTAATGATGATGATGATGAATTACGGAGGAACAAGGATTGGGATTTCTGTTGCGGTCACAGACGATAAGAGAGGTAGATTAAATCATGATATATAAAAGATGCAGTTATTTGCCCATGAGATTAAAGTCTATCAAGAGAAGAAACTATCATAATATAAAGCAAAAAAGGGTTACAGTTAGGGAAGTAGTGAGTTGCATGAAGGGGAAGAGTGTGAGGGTTAAGGAAGATACAAATGTCGGAAGTTTTTTGGAGCGAGAATCATCTCAATTATTACAACCTTGTTGACGAGAGAGTTGTTGACGATAAATCCGACATCCCCTTTGAAAGACGGTCGCACTCCCGGTGATAGAACAAGTTGCCGGATTCGAGGACCGTGTCCTCCCCCTCTCTTCGGACCTCGGATAATCCTATAATATGCCAGCGTAACTTGTCTATCTCTTCTTACAGCTCCACGATCTTCTCGTCAGTCCTCAGGGTGCGTGCGTTGTATGTTAACAGGTCGAGTCGTCTTAGGTGGCAACCGAACCTCCACCGGAGATTCTTAGCACCCCCTGCCCCGCCGTTGCCGTGGAATAGCAGGGCGGGTTTATTTGTGTCGTTGCTCATGGGGGCTCATGCTCATTGCCATAGTTGCCACGCTTAGCGAGCGGGTTGGCAATCGCAGTTTCTATTGCTTTTTACTGTTACCAGAAAGATTCTGCTTACCATCGTCTACCTCAGTTTCCCTCTGTCGCCTCTTATAACACGTACGGGAAGATATGGGATAGTGGGTTTTCTTACCCGCCATTACACGGGAGATGTTTACAGAAAATTAACAAAAAAGGTAGCGTTGTAGCGACAGGAGTTCCTAGTGTGGGGGTAACGTTTTTAAAAAAAAAAAGAAAAAAGTTAAAAGACCGTCGCAGGATGTAGATTCCCTCGATTTTTTTAAATGCCCTCTATATTTAAAATACATAGCAAAGATTTATTGGAACGAAGTTTTTTATCGGACAGTACAAATTTGGCGGATGGAGGCTAGGCGAGAAAAAGTGTAAGATTTTTCCGTCACGATCTCTTCTGACGTATTGAAGACGGCCTTGGCGACTATAAGCAAGCGAGATGGAATAATATCCATTTCCCTCGCACTTTTTCTTATCTTGACATGAAAGAAATTTTATTTTATTTTAAATGACGCTTCATTTTAATAGACGCTAGTAATTCATTTATTTGTACTTGGTAATGAATAATATAATACGTTTATCAATAATAATATACTAGGAACGGAACTTCGTTCCAACCGTGTGTTCCACGACACTCATGCATGTTTTCTTTTATATTTTTCTGTTAACTATCATGACTTGACCTATCGCCCAATTCCGGCTTGACGTCGACTTCTGGGACATTCTATATAAATAATGAAAAATTCGGGAAACAGTTCAAACATAGAGAGGAAGCAATGTTGAGATGAAAAATGATGGGGGCGAATGACATTAAGCGAACGGGAACGTTAGTAGTGTGGGGGTAACGTTTTTTAAAAAAATGTATGATAGCTCTTCTCGATCAATTCGAGTATTAGAATGAGACCTTCATCCACAAGACTATATAAACTATAAGATAAACTAGCGCCATCTATTAGAAGTAATTTGAACTACGATATGGCTATTGGGGGCTGCTTAAATGTCATATCGCTTCATCTTAATTCGAAAACAACATTATTTGCATAATGTAAGTTTTATTTACTAACAGATTTTAACTTACAGGTGATATGAAATATCCCAGAAATATTATTTTTTTACAGTGCTTAGTGTCGTAGTTCACTCAACCTTTCACGACTCAACTTATTTATCTGTATTATGGTACTCTTGTACTATTATGTCTATACCTATAAAATTGCCGTTTTTGTATGAAATATGTTAACGAAATGTTTCGCTATATGTTTTATTTCTATTTACAAAGTAATCACCCATGGAATCGATGCATCTTTGCCAACGCAATGGCAGTTTGTTGATGGCCTTTTTGAAGTAATCGGCTGGACGGAAGGCAACAAATTCTACGTAGGCATTTGGTACTAACTCTCGGGTACTGAATTTTTTTCCCTTCAAAAATTATCCAAATCCTGGAAATAATAGAAGTCTGTAGGCGCAAGGTCTGAAGAGTACGGCGGATGACGGAAAGCTTCCAACCTCAGCTCTTACACGCGTTGTCATGCAGGAGCAGCGGGGACCATCGATTGACCAAAGCTGGTTTTTTATAGGATAGGGTGACAGACGAGCACACAGTCCACCTGATGGTAAGTGGTTGCTGTGACCCATAGACATCTACATTTATCCTCAATAAAGAATCAAAATGCAGTTGCGTTGTCACCCGTGAGGAGTAAGATGGAATGCCTCTTTTCCAGTAAAATGGGTCTCCGGTTCTCTACAGTCACCATACGAAACACAGCAGTGTCAAGCTGCTATTTTATGCAGGTATTCTGTGAGAGCGTGGTCCTTCCCCGATCGAGCCGACCTATTCGTGCTACAACTATACTACTAATATAGCTGCAGCATGGCTCTACCACGTAAAAAGTGTGGTTGGAGACTTGCGAGCTTTTCTTCTTCACGGTACACAACTGCAGTAATACTCATCCCGTTTGGTAAGAAGCTGTGATGAATCACAACGGCGCTAGACCACCAAACAGTAACCATCACTTTTCTAGGGGTAAGTTTTCGTTTAGGGCATTGTTAGAAATAGAAACAGAAACAAAAACAGAAACTTTTTTATTCAATATAGATTATAAATAATACTTATTGAAAGTCACTCTTTTGTTTGATTACCACTGGTTCGGAAAAAACCTCTGTCCTGGGAAGAACCAGCAAGAAACCCAGCGGGACTTTTTTTTAAATAACAGCTTACAATCATGATGTTACACAAATTAACAACACAACAAATTAGAAATAGCTTGGTAGCGATCACCTCATTTCCAGGGGTTATTATCATCCATAAATTCCTTAATATTATAATAACCCTTTTTATACAAACTTAGTTTAATAAAGTTTTTGAACTTTGTGCAGGTCAAACTTTGTATATTTTCTGGAATTTTATTGTAAAAGCGTATACATCGCCCCAAGAATGAATTACTGACTCGATGGAGTCGAGTAACTGGTACTACTAGCTTGTGACTGTTCCTAGTATTTACAGAATGAATATCACTTATTTTTGTAAAACTACTTTTATTTTTGTGTACGTACATTAATTACATTTTCATAAATGTATTGAGAGGCCAAAGTTAATATATTAATTTCCTTAAATTTTTGTCGCAGCGACTCTTTAGGCTTTAAATCATAAATTGCTCTTACGGCCCTCTTCCGTAAAACAAATATAATTTCAGTGTCAGCTGCGTGTCCCCATAGCAAAATACCATACGACATTATGCTATGGAAATAGCTAAAGTAAACTAGTCTAGCTGTTTCAACACTGGTTAGACTTTTAATCTTTTTTACAGCATATGCTGCAGAACTAAGTCTGCTTGCTAGTTTTGATATATGGTTTAGGTGCTAAACCAGGATCCAACCAACTTGCTGAGCGATTGCGATTGTCAAACATAATCCATTTTTCAGGTAACAATGTGGTTCAAAATTCCTTTTTTGTACCTGTTGAATAGTGCAAGACACATCTCGACGCGTACTTCGCGCTGGCGATCATTGAGTTCGTGGGGCACACATTTGTCAAGCTTTTTTACCTTGCCAGTTTAACGCAAATGGACCAATATTGTTTTGATGCTATCGTCGAAAGCTGTTGCTTATTCAACCGTAGACGTAGATTGAGTGTCATCAGCTCCCACAATCGCCTTTTAATTCGGCATTGTTGGACAACCACGGGGTTCATTTTTTAGGTCGAAATTTCCAGAACGGAAGCGAGCAAACCAACAGGTGGTGCGTTCGTTTGTAGTATTCGCTCCGTGAGTATGTCGTTGGTGTTGCGTGCCGCGTTGCTGCCACGACGGTATTCATATTCCATATTTACTGTCCTGTCTTCGAATCCGGCAACTTCTTTTATTACCGGGAAAGGGGGTGTCAGATTTATCGTCAATAATACTCTCGTTAATAAAGATGACGAAAAAGATTTAAATGCGAAGAAAACTTATCGCTAATCAATAAACAAATGACTGATTTAAAAAAAAAGAATTCCGTGTATTTAAAATAAAATTAATTTGAAATTAGAATTCTTAGCCAAACAAAAATTATTTTGATTTGAAATGGCCAATACTGCAGAACGGAAATTTCATAGGTTAAACCTATAATAATCCGAGGGCTTTATTATATCTTCTGTCGGACATACAGACAACATATTTTCAGCAGAATGTATAAATTTTGGAGCCGCCTGCTAGCTCTGTTCTTCAACAGGCTCCCCGTTCAGTTAAATTCAAATTCATTTTCAGTGCTTTCCATTTTTGCAGTAATATTAAAAGTAACTTGTTATCAATATGTTCCCATAAATAGCCATAGATGACTTAATATTACCAAGCTCTGGGGTAAACAATTTTATTAAGCATAATTCAGGCATGTTGTTAAAAGCCGTGCCTTTTTATTTAACAAAAAGGCAAGGCATCCAAATAATTGTCATTGGACTGTTTTGTAGGTACATCGGAACCGGTCACATCTAACGTGTCTTGGACTTGGAGTCCTCAGCAAATAGTGGCCGGCACTGAAGCGGTCACCGTGTGGGCTGTCGGCGACACCACAGGACCTTTGCTTGCCGTAAGAACACGACGAAGATTATATATGCTATTATTGCGAAATATAAGACTATTTCTATTCACGAATATACGAACCTAGTTACAACAAAGTTCTTATATTCGTAGTTGTTTGTAATGCCGGTCTCTCACGTATGTGCCAAGATTTGTACACATACTCGTATGTAAGCCTAAACTATGCGAATGAAATAAAGACCTCCCACACATATTTACATTTGAATTAAAATATTTGAACCTACCCGTGCAGTAGCGGCGTATCTACCACCCCATATGGACAATATGGGTTAGTGGATAGTTGATTGTCTTGGTCGTGTAGTGGCGATTAATAATATCCACTACCCCATTTCTTCCCAAGGATGTCGTAAAAGGCGACAAAGGGAAACAAGCAGGAGATGGGCAGCAGCATCTACCTGATAACAGCAAAATTACAACAAAAAATCTGCAGTTGCCAACCCGCTCGCCAAGCGTGGCAACTATGGCAAATACCCCCATGATAAAAGTTACAAAAAGACGGCCCCCAGTCCCCGGCGGCCCCGCTATTCCTCGCTACGGTGGCGGCCATGGTAACGGCGGGGCAGGGGGTGCTAAGAATCTCCGGTGGAGGTTCGGTTGCCACCTAAGACGACTAGACCTGGCAACATACAACGCACGCACCCTGAGGACTGACGAGAAGATCGTGGAGCTGGAAGAAGAAATAGACAAGTTACGCTGGCATATTATAGGATTATCCGAGATCCGAAGAGAGGGGGAGGACACGGTAATACTCGAATCAGGCAACTTGTTCTATCACCGGGAGGTTGACCATCTGTCCCAAGGAGGTGTCGGATTTATCGTCCACAAGTCTCTCGTTAACAACGTTGTACAGATTGAGGGTGTGTCGACGAGGGCTGCGTACCTTATACTCAGAATTACCAAACGGTATTCGCTGAAGATCATACAAGTTTACGCACCAACCTCGGCACATCCCAATGAGGAGGTGGAGGAAATGTATGAGGATATCTCTAGAGCCATGCATTCCTCCAAAACCCACTATACGGTGTTAATGGGAGACTTCAATGCAAAACTAGGCTCAAGAGAGAACGGTGAGCTGAAAGTAGGGAAATTTGGAATAGGTCAATGGAATAAACGGTATTGCTAAACAGACGCATATATTTATAGGTACTAATTATATATTATGTATTTAAATATGTATATTTGTATGTATATATTTGTATATATGTATACGTCACATATGTATAGTTTATTTATTAGTAAATTGTATGTATTATGTAGTTAATTATTATTTTGTGTAGTGTTATTTTATTCTATATTGCCGCACCTACGTAAAATTCTCATCACTTCATGGGTTGACTGGTAGAGAATGCCTCAAGGCATTAAGTCCGCCCTTTGTATTCTTTTGTTTTAAGGAATGCAATAAAGAATAAATAAATAAACCAACCCAAGGGGCCAGCAGCTGGCCGACTTCATGGAGAAAGAGGGACTCTTTATGATGAACTCTTTCTTCTAGAAGCGGCCCCACAGGAAGTTGACCTGGTCGAGCCCCGACGGTTCGACAAAAAATGAGATTGACTTCATTATGACGACCAGACGACAACTGTTCAGTGATGTCTCCGTGATCGCGAGGGTGAAAACTGGTAGCGATCACCGAATGGTTAGAGGCACACTGAACCTAAACGTTAAGTTGGAGAGGTCTCGTCTGATGAAGTCAACGCTCCGTCCCCCTCGTGCTCTAATCCAAAGTCCCGAAAACTTTCAGCTCGAGTTACAAAACCGTTTTCAGTGCCTAGAAGACCGCAATGAAGTGGACGATATGAATGACAAGCTCGTGGAAACTGTCCATGCGGTCGGAGCTAAGTTCTGCAAGACCCGCCGCAGCAGAACACAAAAACTCTCCGATCACACTCTTAATCTCATGGCAGTTAGACGGGAGATGAAGCTACATTCTTCAACAGATTTGACAGTATACAGGCATCTGAACACACAGATCTCCAAATACATGCGGTGGGACTTACGCAAATTCAATAGCGCTTGTATTGAAGAAGCGATCGAGCGGAGCCAACTGTCAAGGCTGAAGACCGAGTGTGGCAGCATCGTTTCCGGGACACCTGAGATTTTGATTGAGATTGAGAGATTATATGGACAGTTGTACACGTCATCGTTGGAGCCACACGCAAGTGTGAGTAACGACCCAAGAGCGAGTCTTATCCGACACTATTCCGAAGATATCCCGGACGTCAGTCTGAGCGAGATTAGAATGGCTCTCCAGCACCTTAAAAACGGCAAGGCCCCAGACGAGGATGGAATTACAGCGGAGCTTCTGAAAGCGGCTGGAAAACCGGTACTTGAAGTCCTTCAGAAGCTCTTTAATTCCGTCCTCCATCGTGGCACTACTCCGGAGGCGTAGAGCAGAAGTGCGGTGGTCTTGTTCTTCAAGAAAGGCGACAACGCTCTCTTGAAGAACTATAGACCGATTTCCCTTCTGAGCCTCGTCTACGTGCTGTTTTCGAGAGTCATTAGGAATCGTCTCGCACGTAGACTTGACGACTTACAGCCTCCCGAAGAAGCCGGTTTCCGAAAAGGCTTTAGTACCGTAGACTATGAGAAAGCCTTTGATTCCGTCGAAATTTGGGCGGTGCTGCAGTCCCTTCAGCGGTGCCAAGTTGACTGTCGGTATATCGAAGTGCTGAAGTGTACATGTTAAGTAGAGCTACAATGGCTATCCGAGTACAGAATCAGAGTACGAAACCTATCCAACTGCAGAGAGGTGTAAGACAGGGTGACGTTATATCCCTGAAACTCTTCACCGCTGTATTGGAAGACGTTTTCAAGCTACTGGACTGGAAAGGATACGGTATTAACATCAATGGCGAGTACATCACTCGCCTTCGATTTGCCGACGATATAGTCCTTATGGCAGAATCGCTGGAGGACCTAAGCTCCATGCTCTATATTTTGATTTGTAACAGAGTATAGATGTAGATGTCTATGGGCCGCAGCAACCACTTACCATCAGGTGGACTGTGTGCTCGTTTGTCAACCTAATCCTATAAAATAAAAATGCTCAATGACCTCAATAGACGATTATCTGAGAAGAGAAGAATGGACTTAGTTTGTGTAAACCCTCAAACCAAACACGCATTTGTGAACAAATTTTACATATTTTTAGGACCCTTTCTATATAACAAGCTCAACAAGTCACTAAAGGTATATAGTCTAAGTTATAAGGACTGTAATATAAGTGTAAGGGAATTTCTAAATAAATTAAATTACGAAGACACAGAGAAGTTGTTAGATATACTAAAATAGTTTGTATTAATTGTAGGCAATAAATAATTGTTATTTAGTTATTTTATTTATTATACAATTTAGTTTAATTATTTAAATATCTAGTGTCCTACATTATTAAACCGTTTGTATAGGTGATGTCTGAAACACAGGTACTCAACCTAGTTCAGGCAGGTAGCTAATATTATTGTTCGCGCAAAACTCTGTTGTCGGAATCGACACCAGATGTCACTCGGCTCGGCGCGATTCCGGTCTGAAGTTCTTCCGATCCTGGCGGTGGCGCGCGGGTCGCAAGCGGATCAGTCATCTGCCAGATGTGCTAATGTTTGCACGCTGTTAATTTTGTGCGGGAACCGCGGAATAGTTAGGGCGTCTAGTAAATATCCTGTCTAGGAATTATAACGCGCATTCCCTGTTTGGATAGCCTTTCCCGGGACTTATTGGGTCCGACTCAGAATCTGTATAAGTGCATTCGACAATATAAGCTAGTGCGGCCTCGGTATTTAGAACTGTTGCCACGCGAAACGGTAGTGACCTTTGACCTAGAAACTCCGGGCGTGTTTTGTGCGGTAACCTTATACCCCGCGATAGTTAGTGGCTTCTGTAAGCTAGTTAATCGTACGATAGAGTTAAGTGACTGTCATCGTGGTGAACCAAGAAAGTGACTGTGGATAACCTCGAAAGGCCCCCTCAAATTGGAGCGGTGTCGACGCTCGGGCTGCTGCCGACGGCTAAGGTCCAGGTTTAATCACCATCAGTCACACCCAGATACACACCACATCACCATTCTTTCCCTTGCACTACACAACTACATGCGACCTGACCGACTCCGGAGGGACCAGTCGTCTTGGATCGAGGTAAGTGAACTCCGCCAAATTCCTTCCGGTCGACTGGCCGTAGTATAACGCTCCCCCATATATTTTAGTGTAATTAGAGAGATTCCACGTGGCCTTAGGAGGCCCGACCTACGTTTGCTCGGGAAGTCTTCTGCTGATGGGCCCCGGGGGATTGGATCCTTTAAGGGAGCAACCGTAGGCCGTAACATTTGGTAGCAGAGCGTGGTTCCGGGTTCGATTCCCGGTCGATCCCGACTATAGTGTTTGATAAACATTAAACAATTTTGGTGGCAGGGAGCGTCGGTGTGATTGGTTTAATTTGCATCTACAATCACGCCCGTCCGTAATACGTAAAAATATTTTTTTTGTACGTAATAATAGAATTATTTTCCTTTGTTGCTTTGTTGCTTGCCTTTTTTTTGGTTAGAGGGTAATTTGAAAAGCCGCGCCCTAGGTTGTGCAAGCGGGAGATTTTCTAGAGATATACGTCATGTAGGTAGATGGTTATTTTTACGTAATCGGTTAATTATCGTTGTCGGAGAGTTGTAGTGGATTACTTATCGAAGGTTCGATTTCCGAGCTAGGCATTTTTTGTTGATCGACCGTGATGTGTATCTTCGTTTATACTGTAAGTTGTATTTGAACTAAATAGTAGTAGTTTGTATTTGCGCAATTTGAATTTAACTTGATTCGATCGCACTAGTATTTGTTATTTGTTAATTTGATTTGTGTCTTTTTTGTGCTAACTTGTATTTGGTTGATACGTAGCAAGTAGTTCGTATTTGTGTAATTTCTATTCAACGCGATTTGATAGGAACTGCATTTATTAACTGTTAATTTTTTGTTGTATTTTTTATTTGTTATCTTTGTAAACTGTGCTCAAGCCGCGTCGTAATTTGCATTTAATAGTGATGACATCGCCCAAGCTACTGATCCGTTGTTTGCGGACTGAGCTACGCTGGGCCACAAGCGCCCATGCTTTGATAGGTCGACCGGATAGGGTCCATAACTTGATGAAGCAGTTCGAGCAGGTGGATGCTCGAAGGGCCGCAGTGGAGGAGGCTTACGCTGAACTCGAGGATTCGGATGTGGAGAAGGGAGTCCTGGACTCCTGCTTCGCGGACTATGAGCAGTTCTTGTGGCTCACGGACGAGTTGATCGAGGCTGAAGGCAGGTATGCCGAGGAGGCTCGTGAAGCTCGGATGAGTGACTTGTCCGAGTCCTCTCTGAAGCGGCTTCAGCCGGAGCTGTTGGGACGACTCCCAACTCTGGACCTGCCAAAGTTCTCCGGGGTCCTTTCCGAATGGCTGACCTTCGTTGGTCTTTTCGACAGCCTAGTGGACTCCCGGAGTGACTTGACCCCGAGCCCAAAGATGGTGTACCTCCTGGCCTCACTGGAGGGGGAGGCCCTGGGCGTCGTCGGCCACTTGAGATTGTCGGACGACGCCTACCAGACTGCTCGGGACCTCCTAGCCATAAGATACGCCAACGTCCGGCGAATTGCGGACGAACAGGTTAAGCAGCTTCTAAGCCTCCCGCTGCTTAGTGACCGGGCCAGACTGCGTCCGGACCTGTTGGATCCAGTCTTGGTGGCCTGTAATACTTTGAGGCGGCTGGGTTTACCAGTGGGCGAATGGGCTTTTTTGTTGCTCCGCATCGTGCTGTCCCGTCTACCTCTCGACCTGCGAATCCATTTTGAGGAGAGGTACGGCGGGGACGAGGCCTCCTATATGCCGCCCTTCTATGACCTGCTGCGGTTTTTGGAGGAGCAGTGCCGGCAGATCGAGAACGCGGCGGGCACCGTTGACGACTTGCGAGACGTGCCCAGTGAGAGGCTGAACCCGCCAGGCAAGTCGTCGTCAACCCCCCCCTGCTCCTATTGTCGAGCATCTGATCACCGGGTAACGTCGTGCCCGAAATTATTAGGTAAGCCGGTTCCAGCGAGGCGAACTATCGCCAAGGAGCGCCACTGGTGCTGGTCATGTCTGGGAGGGCACCTCCAGCGAGACTGTCCGCATCGACGGCCCTGTCTGCATTGCCAGGGCAATCACCATGCCGTTTTGTGCCTGGGTGCGAACGGCATCTCCTCTCGGGGCTCTGCCAGGCCCTCGACCCCCACGGGCGGGGGCGCTCAGCCACGCCCTCTGCAGGGTGACTCTCGGCGCCCGCCGTCCAGCCACCAGGCCCCTAAGTTTGAAAGGAGTCCCTCCCCCGACCAGTCGGGGGGTAATTCCCCCAGGGGCGGGGGTGTCATCACCCCCCCTCAGCGTGTGGAGAGGAACTTCACGGCCACTCATCGGTCCGCTGGACCCTTCTCACTTCCGTTAGCTGAGTGGCCGCGACTGGTGTACCACTGTTCCCCATTTGATGGAGGCGGCCCTGTCTAGCTGCTGCCTTAGTTCCCACCACGGCCGCCTCCACTGAGCCTTAAGCCGTCAACAGTCCACTTGTCAAAATGTTCTGTTGCCGACGGCCTCAGTGAAGGCGTACAACCCGAGTGGCAACTGTTAAAGGTTGTGCTCTATTTATCTCGGGTTCACGCCATGTGGCCTCCCCTTGGTGGTGGGAAGATTAGGGCCCCCCTGTAGCGTTGAATCACGCTGTCAAGGGGTATTAGATTTGGTTTGGTCGAGCACTTAGTCAAAAAAAATACTTGAATTAAAATTAAAAATTGCTTTGGGCTTTCCGCGAAATTCTCCTATTTGTAGCGGTTTAAATTAAAAAAATTGAATTTAATCTACTCCTTTAAATGCTACTGCATGTGTTTTGTACATATATTTAATCACTGTATTTGATTGTTGCGTTTGTTTGCTGAAAGGAAAATTTGAATTCATCTGAAATGGAATGGCGCACTATTTGAAAAATTATGTTTATGTTTATGATAGTGTTTAATCATTTTTGTTTTCTAAGAAGTAGGGCTGTCCCTTACGTTATTGTTTTGTTTAATTTGCAAGTTGACCTATGCGCATCGGTGATTAATTTGGTTGAATTAATTCTGTAGTTGAACATTGATGCTTTTGAAAAATTAGTTGAAATATGAGCATAGGACTACTTGTCTAACAGGCTAGCTAGTTTGGAGATTATCAGATTGAAATCAGCTGCCGCACTATTTTAGTAAATGATAATATGGTGGGTGGCCTGGCTAGGCCTACTTGTTGAAAATTCATACTAGGGACTATCTGTGCGTTTCGTTCGGCTCTCCACAGACGACGTTCATGTGGAATTTGTGGGTGCTCTCTGCACTGAAGCTTAGGAGGCCGCTCGAGGCCGCTTCGTGTCGCGTCACTGTTTGCAGAGCTGATCCGGTCGGATTGCGGAACTAATCATAGGGGCACAGATGGTGTTTGAAAGAGGTCGTCGGACTTCTGTCCAGTACAGGACTTATTAAAGTGCTGCGATGCCCAGGAGGGGCATCCAGTGGAGGCTGACCCTCCGGCTTGCCACATTAGGGATATCTTTGAGGCGTTGATTAGGGTTGCAAGACCTAATGGATTGCCTAAGGTGGCCTAGTTTGGTTGTAGATTCGGTCTTGCAACTTGCAGTCTCGACCTTGACCGGTTTGCTCGCGGACCTAAATCCTTATGTCCGGGACGGGGGTTTGTTCGCGCAAAACTCTGTTGTCGGAATCGACACCAGATGTCACTCGGCTCGGCGCGATTCCGGTCTGAAGTTCTTCCGATCCTGGCGGTGGCGCGCGGGTCGCAAGCGGATCAGTCATCTGCCAGATGTGCTAATGTTTGCACGCTGTTAATTTTGTGCGGGAACCGCGGAATAGTTAGGGCGTCTAGTAAATATCCTGTCTAGGAATTATAACGCGCATTCCCTGTTTGGATAGCCTTTCCCGGGACTTATTGGGTCCGACTCAGAATCTGTATAAGTGCATTCGACAATATAAGCTAGTGCGGCCTCGGTATTTAGAACTGTTGCCACGCGAAACGGTAGTGACCTTTGACCTAGAAACTCCGGGCGTGTTTTGTGCGGTAACCTTATACCCCGCGATAGTTAGTGGCTTCTGTAAGCTAGTTAATCGTACGATAGAGTTAAGTGACTGTCATCGTGGTGAACCAAGAAAGTGACTGTGGATAACCTCGAAAGGCCCCCTCAAATTGGAGCGGTGTCGACGCTCGGGCTGCTGCCGACGGCTAAGGTCCAGGTTTAATCACCATCAGTCACACCCAGATACACACCACATCACCATTCTTTCCCTTGCACTACACAACTACATGCGACCTGACCGACTCCGGAGGGACCAGTCGTCTTGGATCGAGGTAAGTGAACTCCGCCAAATTCCTTCCGGTCGACTGGCCGTAGTATAACGCTCCCCCATATATTTTAGTGTAATTAGAGAGATTCCACGTGGCCTTAGGAGGCCCGACCTACGTTTGCTCGGGAAGTCTTCTGCTGATGGGCCCCGGGGGATTGGATCCTTTAAGGGAGCAACCGTAGGCCGTAACAATTATAAATATGAATTTTCTATCTTCTTTTGTAGATTCTACATTATTTAGCTACACATAGTTTTAATTTTATCATAGCATGTTATTTTTGTTAGACTTATTGTTACTTTATTAATTGTAATCATTCTGATTCCTGTATGTCAACATGTGTAATTCGAAATGAAATAAATATTTATTATTATTTATTATCTGACACAGAGACAGATTAAGCGCAGCACCCAACAGCTTTACTTGTTTTCCGAGGCACTGGGTTAAAACACCTTGCACTTCCCGACTTCGGGTTGCTACTGAGAATTTCTTGACGGTAAAACCAAATAACTGATTTTGGTTCGAATCAAGATTTGTGTTTCATAATTCCCAACCGCGTTTTCGACCACTAGAACAACGAGGCAGTCTATCTAACTGATTTTTCTATACTTGTGGATATAATATATGATGTTATGAATGTATCCGTTCACAACTGGTTGATTCAAATTCAAAATGTAGATGCGTTGCCACCCGTGAGGACTAAGATGGACTGCCTCGTTTCCAGTAAAAAGTCTTCGGTTCTCTACACTCACCAAACGAAACACAGCAGCATATAGCTGCTATTTTACGCTGGTAATCTGTGAGAACGTGGTCCTTCCCTGGTCGAGCCGACCCATTCATGCTACTACTATACTATAAATATAGGTGCAGTATGGTTCTACCACGTAGAAAACTGTACGTACTTACTGTAAACTTCACCTGTTTCACGATCCCCCTTTTTCCCGCCCTTTTTTGAACTGACTACGATTGTAACAGTCGACGAAATAAAGAAGAAATTTTTCTATCATTTTCCAGCGTTTTGATGTTTTTTTTTATGTTTATCCTAGAAGAAACATATGTAAATGTGTGCGTGTTAAGTAAATGTGTAAGTGTAGTGGTGGTTGTGGTGGTGTTGTGCAGGAGGCGGACGCGCTGGTGGCGCTGCCGCGCGGCTGCGGCGAGCAGAACATGGCGCGCCTCGCCACCAACCTGCTGGCGCTGCGCCTGCTGCACCCGCACGCGCCCGCCGCGGCGGCGGCCAGGGACCACGTCGCCAGGGGTAACTACAAGCTTCCTCATCAGCAGCAGAACATGTAGCCTCGCCACCAACCTGCTGGCGCTGCGCCTGCTGCACCCGCACGCGCCCGCCGCGGCGGCGGCCAGGGACCACGTCGCCAGGGGTAACTACAAGCTTCCTCATCAGCAGCAGAACATGTAGCCTCGCCACCAACCTGCTGGCGCTGCGCCTGCTGCACCCGCACGCGCCCGCCGCGGCGGCGGCCAGGGACCACGTCGCCAGGGGTAACTACAAGCTTCCTCATCAGCAGCAGAACATGTAGCCTCGCCACCAACCTGCTGGCGCTGCGCCTGCTGCACCCGCACGCGCCCGCCGCGGCGGCGGCCAGGGACCACGTCGCCAGGGGTAACTACAAGCTTCCTCATCAGCAGCAGAACATGTAGCCTCGCCACCAACCTGCTGGCGCTGCGCCTGCTGCACCCGCACGCGCCCGCCGCGGCGGCGGCCAGGGACCACGTCGCCAGGGGTAACTACAAGCTTCCTCATCAGCAGCAGAACATGTAGCCTCGCCACCAACCTGCTGGCGCTGCGCCTGCTGCACCCGCACGCGCCCGCCGCGGCGGCGGCCAGGGACCACGTCGCCAGGGGTAACTACAAGCTTCCTCATCAGCAGCAGAACATGTAGCCTCGCCACCAACCTGCTGGCGCTGCGCCTGCTGCACCCGCACGCGCCCGCCGCGGCGGCGGCCAGGGACCACGTCGCCAGGGGTAACTACAAGCTTCCTCATCAGCAGCAGAACATGTAGCCTCGCCACCAACCTGCTGGCGCTGCGCCTGCTGCACCCGCACGCGCCCGCCGCGGCGGCGGCCAGGGACCACGTCGCCAGGGGTAACTACAAGCTTCCTCATCAGCAGCAGAACATGTAGCCTCGCCACCAACCTGCTGGCGCTGCGCCTGCTGCACCCGCACGCGCCCGCCGCGGCGGCGGCCAGGGACCACGTCGCCAGGGGTAACTACAAGCTTCCTCATCAGCAGCAGAACATGTAGCCTCGCCACCAACCTGCTGGCGCTGCGCCTGCTGCACCCGCACGCGCCCGCCGCGGCGGCGGCCAGGGACCACGTCGCCAGGGGTAACTACAAGCTTCCTCATCAGCAGCAGAACATGTAGCCTCGCCACCAACCTGCTGGCGCTGCGCCTGCTGCACCCGCACGCGCCCGCCGCGGCGGCGGCCAGGGACCACGTCGCCAGGGGTAACTACAAGCTTCCTCATCAGCAGCAGAACATGTAGCCTCGCCACCAACCTGCTGGCGCTGCGCCTGCTGCACCCGCACGCGCCCGCCGCGGCGGCGGCCAGGGACCACGTCGCCAGGGGTAACTACAAGCTTCCTCATCAGCAGCAGAACATGTAGCCTCGCCACCAACCTGCTGGCGCTGCGCCTGCTGCACCCGCACGCGCCCGCCGCGGCGGCGGCCAGGGACCACGTCGCCAGGGGTAACTACAAGCTTCCTCATCAGCAGCAGAACATGTAGCCTCGCCACCAACCTGCTGGCGCTGCGCCTGCTGCACCCGCACGCGCCCGCCGCGGCGGCGGCCAGGGACCACGTCGCCAGGGGTAACTACAAGCTTCCTCATCAGCAGCAGAACATGTAGCCTCGCCACCAACCTGCTGGCGCTGCGCCTGCTGCACCCGCACGCGCCCGCCGCGGCGGCGGCCAGGGACCACGTCGCCAGGGGTAACTACAAGCTTCCTCATCAGCAGCAGAACATGTAGCCTCGCCACCAACCTGCTGGCGCTGCGCCTGCTGCACCCGCACGCGCCCGCCGCGGCGGCGGCCAGGGACCACGTCGCCAGGGGTAACTACAAGCTTCCTCATCAGCAGCAGAACATGTAGCCTCGCCACCAACCTGCTGGCGCTGCGCCTGCTGCACCCGCACGCGCCCGCCGCGGCGGCGGCCAGGGACCACGTCGCCAGGGGTAACTACAAGCTTCCTCATCAGCAGCAGAACATGTAGCCTCGCCACCAACCTGCTGGCGCTGCGCCTGCTGCACCCGCACGCGCCCGCCGCGGCGGCGGCCAGGGACCACGTCGCCAGGGGTAACTACAAGCTTCCTCATCAGCAGCAGAACATGTAGCCTCGCCACCAACCTGCTGGCGCTGCGCCTGCTGCACCCGCACGCGCCCGCCGCGGCGGCGGCCAGGGACCACGTCGCCAGGGGTAACTACAAGCTTCCTCATCAGCAGCAGAACATGTAGCCTCGCCACCAACCTGCTGGCGCTGCGCCTGCTGCACCCGCACGCGCCCGCCGCGGCGGCGGCCAGGGACCACGTCGCCAGGGGTAACTACAAGCTTCCTCATCAGCAGCAGAACATGTAGCCTCGCCACCAACCTGCTGGCGCTGCGCCTGCTGCACCCGCACGCGCCCGCCGCGGCGGCGGCCAGGGACCACGTCGCCAGGGGTAACTACAAGCTTCCTCATCAGCAGCAGAACATGTAGCCTCGCCACCAACCTGCTGGCGCTGCGCCTGCTGCACCCGCACGCGCCCGCCGCGGCGGCGGCCAGGGACCACGTCGCCAGGGGTAACTACAAGCTTCCTCATCAGCAGCAGAACATGTAGCCTCGCCACCAACCTGCTGGCGCTGCGCCTGATGCACCCGCACGCGCCCGCCGCGGCGGCGGCCAGGGACCACGTCGCCAGGGGTAACTACAAGCTTCCTCATCAGCAGCAGAACATGTAGCCTCGCCACCAACCTGCTGGCGCTGCGCCTGCTGCACCCGCACGCGCCCGCCGCGGCGGCGGCCAGGGACCACGTCGCCAGGGGTAACTACAAGCTTCCTCATCAGCAGCAGAACATGTAGCCTCGCCACCAACCTGCTGGCGCTGCGCCTGCTGCACCCGCACGCGCCCGCCGCGGCGGCGGCCAGGGACCACGTCGCCAGGGGTAACTACAAGCTTCCTCATCAGCAGCAGAACATGTAGCCTCGCCACCAACCTGCTGGCGCTGCGCCTGATGCACCCGCACGCGCCCGCCGCGGCGGCGGCCAGGGACCACGTCGCCAGGGGTAACTACAAGCTTCCTCATCAGCAGCAGAACATGTAGCCTCGCCACCAACCTGCTGGCGCTGCGCCTGATGCACACGCACGCGCCCGCCGCGGCGGCGGCCAGGGACCACGTCGCCAGGGGTAACTACAAGCTTCCTCATCAGCAGCAGAACATGTAGCCTCGCCACCAACCTGCTGGCGCTGTGCCTGCTGCACCCGCACGAGCCCGCCGCGGCGGCGGCCAGGGACCACGTCGCCAGGGGTAACTACAAGCTTCCTTATCAGCAGCAGAACATGTAGCCTCGCCACCAACCTGCTGGCGCTGCGCCTGCTGCACCCGCACGCGCCCGCCGCGGCGGCGGCCAGGGACCACGTCGCCAGGGGTAACTACAAGCTTCCTCATCAGCAGCAGAACATGTAGCCTCGCCACCAACCTGCTGGCGCTGCGCCTGCTGCACCCGCACGCGCCCGCCGCGGCGGCGGCCAGGGACCACGTCGCCAGGGGTAACTACAAGCTTCCTCATCAGCAGCAGAACATGTAGCCTCGCCACCAACCTGCTGGCGCTGCGCCTGATGCACCCGCACGCGCCCGCCGCGGCGGCGGCCAGGGACCACGTCGCCAGGGGTAACTACAAGCTTCCTCATCAGCAGCAGAACATGTAGCCTCGCCACCAACCTGCTGGCGCTGCGCCTGCTGCACCCGCACGCGCCCGCCGCGATGGCGGCCAGGGACCACGTCGCCAGGGGTAACTACAAGCTTCCTCATCAGCAGCAGAACATGTAGCCTCGCCACCAACCTGCTGGCGCTGCGCCTGCTGCACCCGCACGCGCCCGCCGCGGCGGCGGCCAGGGACCACGTCGCCAGGGGTAACTACAAGCTTCCTCATCAGCAGCAGAACATGTAGCCTCGCCACCAACCTGCTGGCGCTGCGCCTGCTGCACCCGCACGCGCCCGCCGCGGCGGTGGCCAGGGACCACGTCGCCAGGGGTAACTACAAGCTTCCTCATCAGCAGCAGAACATGTAGCCTCGCCACCAACCTGCTGGCGCTGCGCCTGATGCACCCGCACGCGCCCGCCGCGGCGGCGGCCATGGACCACGTCGCCAGGGGTAACTACAAGCTTCCTCATCAGCAGCAGAACATGTAGCCTCGCCACCAACCTGCTGGCGCTGCGCCTGATGCACCCGCACGCGCCCGCCGCGGCGGCGGCCAGGGACCACGTCGCCAGGGGTAACTACAAGCTTCCTCATCAGCAGCAGAACATGTAGCCTCGCCACCAACCTGCTGGCGCTGCGCCTGCTGCACCCGCACGCGCCCGCCGCGGCGGCGGCCAGGGACCACGTCGCCAGGGGTAACTACAAGCTTCCTCATCAGCAGCAGAACATGTAGCCTCGCCACCAACCTGCTGGCGCTGCGCCTGATGCACCCGCACGCGCCCGCCGCGGCGGCGGCCAGGGACCACGTCGCCAGGGGTAACTACAAGCTTCCTCATCAGCAGCAGAACATGTAGCCTCGCCACCAACCTGCTGGCGCTGCGCCTGATGCACCCGCACGCGCCCGCCGCGGCGGCGGCCAGGGACCACGTCGCCAGGGGTAACTACAAGCTTCCTCATCAGCAGCAGAACATGTAGCCTCGCCACCAACCTGCTGGCGCTGCGCCTGCTACACCCGCACGCGCCCGCCGCGGCGGCGGCCAGGGACCACGTCGCCAGGGGTAACTACAAGCTTCCTCATCAGCAGCAGAACATGTAGCCTCGCCACCAACCTGCTGGCGCTGCGCCTGCTGCACCCGCACGCGCCCGCCGCGGCGGCGGCCAGGGACCACGTCGCCAGGGGTAACTACAAGCTTCCTCATCAGCAGCAGAACATGTAGCCTCGCCACCAACCTGCTGGCGCTGCGCCTGCTGCACCCGCACGCGCCCGCCGCGGCGGCGGCCAGGGACCACGTCGCCAGGGGTAACTACAAGCTTCCTCATCAGCAGCAGAACATGTAGCCTCGCCACCAACCTGCTGGCGCTGCGCCTGATGCACCCGCACGCGCCCGCCGCGGCGGCGGCCAGGGACCACGTCGCCAGGGGTAACTACAAGCTTCCTCATCAGCAGCAGAACATGTAGCCTCGCCACCAACCTGCTGGCGCTGCGCCTGCTGCACCCGCACGCGCCCGCCGCGGCGGCGGCCAGGGACCACGTCGCCAGGGGTAACTACAAGCTTCCTCATCAGCAGCAGAACATGTAGCCTCGCCACCAACCTGCTGGCGCTGCGCCTGATGCACCCGCACGCGCCCGCCGCGGCGGCGGCCAGGGACCACGTCGCCAGGGGTAACTACAAGCTTCCTCATCAGCAGCAGAACATGTAGCCTCGCCACCAACCTGCTGGCGCTGCGCCTGCTGCACCCGCACGCGCCCGCCGCGGCGGCGGCCAGGGACCACGTCGCCAGGGGTAACTACAAGCTTCCTCATCAGCAGCAGAACATGTAGCCTCGCCACCAACCTGCTGGCGCTGCGCCTGATGCACCCGCACGCGCCCGCCGCGGCGGCGGCCAGGGACCACGTCGCCAGGGGTAACTACAAGCTTCCTCATCAGCAGCAGAACATGTAGCCTCGCCACCAACCTGCTGGCGCTGCGCCTGATGCACCCGCACGCGCCCGCCGCGGCGGCGGCCAGGGACCACGTCGCCAGGGGTAACTACAAGCTTCCTCATCAGCAGCAGAACATGTAGCCTCGCCACCAACCTGCTGGCGCTGCGCCTGATGCACCCGCACGCGCCCGCCGCGGCGGCGGCCAGGGACCACGTCGCCAGGGGTAACTACAAGCTTCCTCATCAGCAGCAGAACATGTAGCCTCGCCACCAACCTGCTGGCGCTGCGCCTGCTGCACCCGCACGCGCCCGCCGCGGCGGCGGCCAGGGACCACGTCGCCAGGGGTAACCAACCAACCAACCTGTTATAACCCTCCATACAGTCATTCACATTCATCCATTACAACTTATAAAAGTCCACTGCTAAACTTAGGCTACCCTCAAAGATTGCTTCATAGGAGTGGAAATCGCCATAGTTGCCACGCGTGTTAGCAACCGTAACTTTTTATTTTTAGCATTTATTATGAATACGCTACTGCCCATCTCTTCATTTGTTTCCCACTGTCGCCTCTTACGACATCCACAGAATGATATGGGGTAGTGGATATACTTACACCGCCACCACACGGTGAAGTTTCTTCATCGTATCCCGTCCCAATCGGCTGACCTATAGTGCCAAACACGGCGGCAAGCAGCAGATCGCAACTGCGATGGCAACGTGAGTGGCACCGTACTCCGGATCAGACAATCGTCCGAAGAGCCCAGAGGGGCATCGACGGAGACCTGATATCCGTCCGGATGAGAGTTCAGCAGAAGGTCCAACAGGGAAGTCACATAATCCTTCATATCTAGGATCCGCGTAGGCGAAGTAACCAGTAGTGTTAGACCATATGCCAAGGCAAAGTCATAGACAGATCTACCCGCATGATCGTTTAAACGGGAACCAAGCCATTCACCGTGGTGGGCATTCCATTGGAGGACCCATTCGTGCTACAACCATATTATAGCTGCAGCATGGCTCTATGCATGCGTATGGTAGAGCCATGCTGCAGCATAATCTGCTATTTTACGCTGGTATTCTGTAATAGCGTGGTCCTAGACCGGTCGAATCGACACATTCGTGCTACATAATATAACTGCATCATTATTGACTCTACCACGAAAGCATGGCTCTACCACGTATTAATTTAAGTCATTGTTTGTGAACTGTGCTCCTCCCATTGTAGAGTGCACGTGCCGTAATCGTCACGCTAGGCTAACGGACTGACGATGGCAGTACCACACGTGTACATCTTTGTCGCTGCTACCCGACCGCCATGTATCGGAAACTACGTTTTTTCTGGCATTTTCCATAGGTACCTCTTACGACACCATCAGGACACAATTGGGTGATGGATTCTCTTATGCCGTCACCACATGGCATTGTTTGACCATTATACTACGATATCTTTTTGTCGTTACAATTGACTATTAGAAATATGCTTGTGATACCATATTTTTATAGTAAACTTATTATTATCGGCTAAGATCCGCGTATTAACATTATAATTAATTTTTAACATCATTAATGATTTCAACATGTGTTCCTGGTTTGTTCAAATGACATGGATCTCGTGCAGGGTTCACGCGGCAGCTGCAGTACGTGCACCCGGCGGGCGGCATCAGTGCGTTCGGTGCCGCGGACCCTTCCCCCTCCACTTGGCTCACGGCTTTCTGCCTAAGATACCTGAGAAAGGCTTACCAGGTTATACATTTTTACTATATCAAATATATTATTATTTTAAGATAATTAAAGACCATTACTTTTATAAATTTTTCGTGTTTTTTGAAGTCAAGACTTCTATATACTTGTGATTTGAAACTAGATGAAATGAAAAAGCGACACTAAAAATAAACTGACATAATACATCTTTAGGATTTACCCTAAGAGAGTATGAGATATAATACAGTATACAGTGTTTGTTATAGTCTAAATATTTGGTTAAATTCCATCTATTGAACAACGTAGGAACTTTTACGCTATGTGCTATATGGCAGATATGTACATAGCTTCAACTATTTTATCGACAGACGGCATTTTTTTAAACTACTCAGAAAACTTGCCCCATGTGGGGAAAAACTCATTTGTTACACAAAAATGGACGTTGAAATCGTTTATTGATCTTAAAATATTTTGACATTAGTACACTGACCTCTATATATATTTTCTTCACTGAATTCTTCTCCTGCCGTCGCCGAATCATTACTTAAACAAAATGTAAATGTGTGTACAAAGAATTTTACATTTCATAAAGTGTCATCAAAAGATATTGTAAAATATTTTAAAACTATTGATGTTAAGAAAACTGCGGATCTGTGGGGGATTTCCGTTAAAGTTATTGCGTCTATAATAGATACAATCGCGCCTCATTTAGCTATTATTTTTAATACTAGTATCGAATCTGGTGTGTTTCCTGATTTAATGAAGCATAGTAAAGTAATACCTTTATTTAAATCTGGTAGTACATTAGACCCCGCAAATTTTAGACCTATTTCTGTACTACCAACACTTAGTAAGATTTTTGAAAAAATTGTTCTTGATCAAATGTTAAATTTTTTTAATATAAATAATTTACTTCATAAAAATCAATTTGGTTTCACAAGGGGTCGCTCGACAACTGATGCCGGTGTTGAGCTGATTAAATATATCTTTAATGCATGGGAGAATTCACAGGATGCTTTGGGTATATTTTGTGACCTATCCAAGGCCTTCGATTGTGTTCACCATGAAACATTAATCAGGAAACTTCAACACTACGGTGTAAGAAGTGATGCCCTTAAATTAATTATTTCATATTTAAGTAAGAGAACGCAAAAAGTTGTCATTAACAATATGAGCTCTTCCGGATCGATGGTACAAATGGGCGTGCCTCAAGGCTCAATTCTCGGCCCCTTTCTGTTTCTTGTATACATTAATGACTTACCTTACATAGTAGGGGATAACCATGATATAGTATTATTTGCAGATGACACTTCTTTAATTTTCAAATTAAGTCGACAGTTACTAAAATATGACGAAGTAAATAATGCTATCTCTAAATTAGTAAATTGGTTCGATGTTAATAATTTGCATTTAAATGGCACTAAAACAAAATGTATGAAATTCGTGACTCCAAATGTCAAACAATTAAATACTAATGTAATTTTAAATGGGGAGAAACTGAGTCTTGTAGATACCACCATTTGTCTTGGAATTACACTAGACGCGAAGCTTCAATGGAGCCCCCATATATCAAAACTATCAAGCAGACTTAGTTCTGCAGCATATGCTGTAAAAAAGATTAGAAGTCTAACCAGTGTTGAAACAGCTAGACTAGTTTACTTCAGCTACTTCCATAGCATAATGTCGTATGGTATTTTGCTATGGGGACACGCAGCTGACACTGAAATTATATTTGTTTTGCAGAAGAGGGCCATAAGAGCAATTTATGATTTAAAGCCTAAAGAGTCGCTGCGACAAAAATTTAAGGAAATTAATATATTAACTTTGGCCTCTCAATACATTTATGAAAATGTAATGTACGTACACAAAAATAAAAGTAGTTTTACAAAAATAAGTGATATTCATTCTGTAAATACTAGGAACAGACACAAGCTAGTAGTACCAGTTACTCGACTCCATCGAGTCAGTAATTTATTCTTGGGGCGATGTATACGCTTTTATAACAAAATTCCAGAAAATATACAAAGTTTGACCTGTTCAAAGTTCAAAAACTTTATTAAACTAAGTTTGTATAAAAAGGGTTATTATAATATTAAGGAATTTATGGATGATAATAACCCCTGGAAATGAGGTGATCGCTACCAAGCTATTTCTAATTTGTTGTGTTGTTAATTTGTATAATCATGATTGTAAGCTGTTATTTAAAAAAAAAAGTCCCGCTGGGTTTCTTGCTGGTTCTTCCCAGGACAGAGGTTTTTTCCGAACCAGTGGTAATCAAACAAAAGAGTGACTTTCAATAAGTATTATTTATAATCTATATTGAATAAAAAAAGTTTGTTTCTGTTTCTGTTTATATATATATATATAGAGTTCAGTGCATTAGTATCATCTCTTCGATTTTGTCGAAATCCACAGATAATAATAAAGTAACTACAAAATGAATCGTACTGTCACTCTTGCCTAATTGATGGGGTAAGTGTGACAGTCTTCCACCTGCTTGGGATCCCATAATTAATAAAATTAAATCCCAACCCAAGCACACAATTACAAGGCTTCAAGATACTGTAAGTTCATAGTGTGTAGATCTGAACAAAAATTAATAATTTTTATTCTGGGGGTAGCCGTGGTTAACTATGACATTGGGACGTCATACACCTCAGTGCCCCCCGTGATATGGCGAATATAAAATAAGTTAATATACGCGATAAAATCCGTAAAATTAGTTTTATTTAAATGTGTAGTGTTCGCGTAAATATAAGAAATCATTATAATATATTGATTATAAGCTATTACTTACAACACCTACTCGCTTTGGTCGTGCGATGCACACTGAGTGCTTTCCATACGGAATTAATGTGTGTGTGATGCGACTTATACAGTCTATAGAAGCATTCGGAACGGTTTTTTCCGTGCGGGATTCCGAACGCACAGGCAATCATGCGGAATTTCGAATCAAAGAAAATTTCGAACGGATAACTACTGTACGTGTGTGATACGTCCTTGATTGATATGGATTTGCTGCGTTCGAAATTCCGAATTGATATTCTGAAACGGCTTATCGAAACGGAATTCCGAATGTATGTGGCCGACCTTTAACGGGAGAATCCCGCAATAACTGATGTATACTGAGACACGCGTCTCGTCTCGTCGCGGATTTGTTAATCTGTGGTCACGGGTCAATCGTGACGTGAGACGTTCCGTGTTACCAACTTTTGCGCGCCCGCTTAACCCGGGAAATAAAAGAAATTCCTATTTTGACTTTCGTAATTTTTGAAGTAAAAACTTCTTTAGGTACGTTGGGCACTTTTTTGTGATATGTTTTTGGAGCTAGGAGTTCAAGTGAGATTGTTGATAACTACGCCCCTGCTCAGGACTAATGATGTAGATATGTCTACTGGTCCACAGCATTCGCTTACCATCAGGTGTAGTGTGTGCCCGTTTGTCAACTTTATTCTATAAAATATCTATTTATTAAGAAGCTCGCTCTACAATATCCTATAATGCTACGTAGCGGTAGGTATCGAATTGCAATTTGAAATTTATTTCTTGGCTTTCTTTTATGACAGGGTTAGTAAACATTTAAATGACGAAATTAGCAAAATAAAATCAATTCGGTCAAAAAGTAGAATCAACCCACCCCCCAGAACGGATGACGGCCATATTATTTTAATTTACGGGGATCAATTCTTAAGTACTTCCAGCAAAACCCTCAAGTACTCGGAATGCAGGAAAGCAATTTGGCGTGTTGCAAAAGACGGTGGAAGCTTTCATAACATGTCTTTTGTCTCATTTTTTATATCCATTTTATGCTACGGCAGTCAAAAATCTTTTGTAATATACGGGTCTAATATATGGGCTTTTTTGGCTGCAGCCCAGGACGCTGTCGATATATTGAGCCCCCAGCCATTGTAGACATCTATCAAAGCTTTAAAAATAATAATGAAAATTTCATGAATTTTAGTGAAAATGAGGATGAGAATGTTAATTTTCGAAAAGATATACATCAGTATACATTTATAAAGAATATAGTTTTTAGACAAAATAACTATTGCCTTGATTAATTGGGTGGTGCAACCCTGGTAATATACAAACACAGCGAATTCACTCACCAAACAAAGCAATTCAGAACTTAGCTCTGCCAACACGAAACTCTGTCGAACGAAAGCGTGTAAGGTGCGAGACGTCTGGTACAACGTCTGGTGATCAATCTGATTGTCAAGCGTGATATTAGAACAATTCTTTCGACAACGGGAGGGGCCCATATTCGGTAGGAAACTTCTACGTACCGATGGTGCATCAAATTTAAAAACGAATTTAAATTATAGGTTCTATCGCCCGGTCTACCAATGCCACCGGCGATTGAACGTGCTGAGCGCTGGCTTTTGGGACAGCAGATGGAAAACGGTTGCTTCAGGAATGAAGGACATGTATTCCACAGGGAACTAAAGGTACCAATGGATAGTTTTTTTTTTTGTTTGTATAAATAAAAAGTACCAAAACATTTTATTGAATGCCTAATGTTTATCATTCATACATTTTATTATTTTTAAGTTTTTTTTTTTGTATAGTTGTGTTTATTGTTACCTGTATAATTAATTAATACCTTAGTATTAGTATAACGAACGACGAAAGAGAGTTCGGATGCGATCCCCGATTGGAATTGGCGTAAGGCAGACTTTCAAGCTCTATATACTGCGTTAGCTAAATTAGATTGGTCCGAGTTAATGACTTTTACAGACGTAAATTCGGCCGTAATTTTTTTTTTACAACAAATTGAAGGAAATTATTAATTTATATGTACCAAATAAAAAGCTTTCTCCAAATCATCGTCAGTATGTCTATCCGAAGTGGTTCACGCCTGAGATCATAGAAAATATTAAAAAAAATATTTTCATCTTAAGAGATTTAAGCAAGAAGGCAAATTATTTAACAAAGAACTGTTTAGCTTTTATCGATAGAGGGTTAAAACCTTAATTGACAACGCATATGAGCAGCACCTTAAGTTGATACAGAAAAGCATAATTGACGATCCGGTACTTTTTTGGAAATATGTTAGTGATAAAAAGAAAGAAAGACGACATACTGAAACGTTTAGTTATAAAGGTGCAGAAGTAACAGGTCAAAATGCGGCTAATGCCTTTGCTGAATATTTTGGCTCAGTATTCCATAATGAAAAGTAAGTCCTATTAAATTATGTAGATGCCGAAAATGCGGCTAACTCACAAAATAACGTGATGCCCATCTCAGTCAGGCAAGTAGACGAAAGTGATTTTAGATTGGCAATAAGACGCCTAAAACCACGATCTGCTGGTGGCCTTGATCGCGTTCCCGCTATTCTGGTCAAGGATTGTGCGCCAGCTCTTCGTTCACCGCTCTTGTTTATTTTTAATCTGTCTCTTAGACAGGCTAAATATCCAGAACAATGGAAACTATCTAGGGTGACACCTGTTCCAAAGGGAGAACCTGGAAAAGATGTTTCTGCTTTTAGACCTATTGCGGTGCTTTCGGTTCTGGCGAAGATATTTGAAACCATGTTGGACTTTCGCATTAGGAATCAGGTAGATAACATTTTGCATGAAAGTCAATATGGGTTTCGAAAGAATCGTGCAACGACTACTAACTTGATAGCACACGTGGACTATGTCTGTGCTGAGATGGATTCTAGGAGACAGGTAGACGCCGCCTATTTCGATCTTAGGAAGGCTTTTGACCTGGTGAGTAATGACATACTGTTACATAAGCTAGTTAAGTTGGGCTTTACTCCGAAAGTTCTTCAACTCTTTGCTAGCTATTTGGGTATTCGTCGTCAATTTGTTAGAGTGAGTGGTTTCGAATCCGCTGATTATTTCACTAGATCTGGGGTGAGTCAGGGTAGTACTCTTGGCCCTACGCTGTTTTTAATTTTTATAAATGACTTGCCTACCAAAGTAAAATTTGCGAAGTGTTTGTTATTCGCAGATGATCTAAAATTAAGTTTGGCGATTGGTAGTGTTGCTGATGCACAGGCTCTTCAACGGGACATAGATGCGGTATCGAAATGGAGTGAACTGAACCATCTTCCTCTTAATGTGACTAAGTGCAAGGTTATCACTTTTGCATTAAAACAGAATCCTGTCATTATTAATTATAACTTATACGACGCGCCTTTGGTAAGAGTATATGACATACGTGACTTAGGTTTAATATTAGATAGTAAATTGAGTTTTCACAATCATATGACATCCATTTGCAAGTTAGCTAGTAAGACTTTGGGTTTTGTGATGAGGACTGCAGCTGACTTTGATGATATAAGGGTGGCTAAAACTTTGTACAATGCGTATGTTCGTAGTAAGCTAGAGTATGCATCTGTGGTCTGGAATCCTTACGAGAAAAAGTATACTCTCTTGTTAGAGAGGATACAACATAAATTTGCTCGTTGGCTTTATAAGAAAGTTCATATGTACTACCCTTATTTGTATCCTTCTTTATTCGTCTTGGGTATGGTTGATTTTGAAACCCTAATGTTTAGGAGGGTGATGTCAACTATTAGGCACTATCTTTCTATAATTCACCACAAGTTGGATTGCCAGTCGGTTATGGAGAGAATCGGTTTGTTGGTGCCCAGGTACCTGCATAGAGGTAATGGAGGAACGGTGGCTCCGCGCCGTAGGGCGCGTCTTCTAGATACACCAGTTACGCGTACCAAACGTGCTGCTTTTGCACCAACAAATCGTGCATTAATACTTATAGGGGACATACTCACTCAGCACGATGAAATTGACCTATTTGCAGACAGTATAACACGTCTGCTGACTCTTTTTTATAAAATCATTGATGATATGACAATTAATAATTGGACAATTTAATTTCGTTGACTATGTACTATT